ATGTATTGATGCCTGGTCTACATAGTGAGTTCCAGGAAAGCTGGGGCTACAAGGAGACCCTGTCTCAAAAAGATGAAAAACAACAACAACAACAACAAAAAAAAAAACCCCACAAAATGTATTGATGGGGGACTGGTGAGATGACTCAGTGGTTAAGAGCACTGGCTGTTCTTGGAGAAGACATAGGTTCAGTTCCCAGCACCCACATGGCAGCTAACAACTGCCTGAAATTCCAGTTCCAGGGGATCCAATGCCGCCTTCTGACCTCCTCAGGCGTTGCACTACACAAGTGCACTTGCATACCTTCAGGCAAAACACTCATAAAGTAAAATTAAAAAATTTAAATGTATTAGGGCTGCAAGCTCCTGCTAGTGTGCTTGTCTAGTGTATACAAGGCCCGAGTTCCATCCCCAGCATCATGAAAACAAAACGGAAAAGGGGTCAGGACAGTGTTTCCACTGTACTCTAAGGGGAAAATATGTTAAAAGCCTCATTGTGATCTCGTTAATCTATTATTTTAACCATAAGATGGTTGAGGTAATCACACCTTGAAAAAAAATGCCTCGCTGGCTTATCACACAGAAAAATCATAATGTACACCTTAACTCTCGCAAACCAAGTAGCCAGCACTCAGATCCGAACAGGCTTTTTCTTGTGACTGCACTTTGCAGTCTTCAGTTCCTCAGGCTGTGTCCCCTGTAACTACTATCCTGACTTTCAACAAATCTTAATCACTGATTACCTTGGAGATTATTTTGGCATCTTCTTTAATTCTGACAGATGTCCCAAATTGAATCTTTTTAAAAAGCATTCACTTTAAAATTATGTTTAATTAATGTGGTGGTGGGGGGGTCACATGCCCATAGAGGCCAGAGTATGCCCCCTGGAGCTGGAGTTACAGGTGGTTGTGAACTGCCCACATAAGTATTGGGAACTGTGTTCAGGTTCTCTGCAAGAGTGGTGCATGCTTTTAACCACTGAGCCATCTCTCCAGCATGTATTGTTACCTACATTTCCCTACCCCCCACCCCCCACCAGCTTGAATCTTTAGGAAGCAATCCTATTTTGTGATGACTGGATTGTTGTGCAGAAGTGATTATCCAAAAACTTACCTTCTAGAAACTGGTTTGTGGCACTGATTATGCCTTTGAAATTTCTCAAAGGCAGTGTTCTAGTTTGCCTTCAATTGCCATGACAAAACACTCTGACCAACACCAACTTGAGGAAGAAAGGTTTTATTTGGCTTACATCTCCCAGGTTCATCACTGAAGGGAGCCCAAGGCAGGAACTCAGGGCAGGAACCTGGAGGCAGGAGCTGAAGTACAAGCCATGGAAGAATACTCCTTACTGGCTTGCTCCCCTGGCCCAGGCTCAGCCTATTTTCTTAATCAATACAGAACAATCTGCCCAGGGGTGGCACCACCCACAGTGGGCTGGGCCCTCCCACATCATTCAAAAATTAAGAAAATACCCCACAGACATGACATAGGCCAGTCCAATGGAGGCAATTCCCCCAATTGAGGCTCCCTCTACCCAGGTGTGTTAAAGTGACAACTGAAGATATCTAGCACAGGCAGAGATAACCCTCCATGGAGGCTGCCCCATTGATGGTGGCTCTCTTTTATGGGAACTACCCTTTTGGCTATAGCTATCTAGATCCAGGAAGGCTTTGAACCAAAGATGGGATTACCACATTCTCCAGCGAATTTAAAAATATGAAGGCAGTCTCAGATGGCCAGGCCTTGTTCTTCATCCTTAGTTCTTTCAGGTGCTTCAGTGTCCTTTTTATGCTTCTGGTGGCCTAAGTTGGCTTCTGATAATGGGAACTACTTGTAACATAGCTACAGGAGTGATTATTTAGACAGCTAAGCAAGTGCTTCATCTCCTTATTCTCTTTTACTTCAGCTGCTCATTCCTCAGTAGGAAATACATGCTTTAAACCCCTCCCAGTCCCTGTCCTTCTTACATCAGATGCTTTTTAGAATCTGTTTTGATGTTTATTAGATACTCCAGGGACCAGGCAGCATTCCTCCCAATCAAACAGAATAGTATTTCACTTCTTGTTTGAGGAAGGGGTAGATGTTTGGAGGAAAGTAAACCTGAATGGAGATGTGATTTTTGCACTGATACTGTGCATAAGGTGCTTCTTTTTTTGGGGGGGGTGTAGGTCTTTTTTTGAGACAGGGTTCCTGTAGCCCCAGCAGACTTGGAACCTCAAACTCACAGAGATTCGCTGGCCTTGAACTCACAAAGATCTGCCTTCCTCTGCCTCCCAGGTGCTGGGATTAAAGGCATGTGCCACCCGGCAGCTTTTGAACCTTTTTTTTGGGGGGGGGACGTCTTTTTGAGACAGGGTCTCCCTGTAGCCCCAGCTGTCCTGGAACTCACTGTGTAGACCAGGCTGGCCTTGAACTCACAGAGATCCACCTGCCTCTGCCTCCTAAGTGCTGGGATTAAAGGTGCGCGCCACCACGCCCGTCTTAACTTTTGAGCTTTTGAAAAACTGTATACTTTAAAATAATACGGGCCAATTTTTGTATTCTGACATTTCATGGTGTGTTAGCTTCATCAGATATTATACACACACTTGGAAATTGATAATGTGACATGCAAAGCATTGAACTTAAAACAGACCCGCCTTAAAGTTCTTTGGCCTTCTAATTCAGAATACTCTGACCAAGACAATCCTGTCACCTCAGTTTCCATCTGTAGAGTGTGGATAACTTACATTTCACCTCATAGGTCTTTTGGAATTATCAAATGAGATATAATATAAATGAAATGGCTTAGTAAGGTTTGTATTCCATTTGTCACTGTCATTAAAACAGTTTCTACAAATGTTTAGGGACTCCTTTGACTGATACTGTTCCACTTCATAGTCACTTAATCTGATTTACTTTGTGTGCTGGACAGTTTGAGATTAGATGTTGTGCTTTAGGCCCCTTATTTTAATATCATTCACTACTTAATATTTGAAAATGTAGTAGCCTCTCAGTGGCTACTTGGCCCATTCTGAACAGATTATACCTTGAATACTATAAGAAATTTGTGTTCTGAGTCATATGTGGTGGCCCACACTTTTAATTCAAGCACTCGGGAGGATGAGGAAAGAGGATTGCTGTGAGTTCAAGGCCAGCTTGTGCTACATAGTCAATTTAAGGTTAGTCTGCAATACACAGCAAAACCCTGTCGCAAACAACAAACTGAAAAACCTACATTCTACCTGTGCTCTGGCTCCAGTGATTCTGTTCCACACCTCTCTAAGTCATTTTCAGGCTAGTTCTTTGAAGGAACAGATAGGTATTTTTTCCAAAGGTATAGGATTTAAGGGCAGTTTTTTTTTTTTTAATTAAAAAAATTTTCATCTCCTCGTCCTCCTCCTCTTCCTCCCCCCCCCACCCAATCCTAACGAGTTTATTGGACTTCCTAACAGAGCATAGAGTGGGCATTTATTTACAGAAGAGTGCCCTCCCCCCATTTATGGCTGTGCTGGAAAGTCCATACTCAAATATAGATCCTGTGACTTCCCAACAGCTGCACAAAGTGGCGAGAGAGGTGCCCTGTAGCGTTCTTGGCTTATATATCCTTAGCTCCTCCTCCACATGCAGCTAAGGTCGACTGATTGGGTGGGAGGGATAACTGACTCCTCCTCTACTCCTTGACGAGTATGGAAAGGAGGTGTGACAATAGCTTGCCGGCATAGTGGTTGGAGGACACTTCCAGGTAATACTCCACCCCTTCCTCTGGCTCTTACATTTTTTCTGCCAACCTCTTCCTCAAAAGTCCCTGAGCCTTGGAGTGGGTGATAGGTGTGGGGTGATCTTCCTCCCATTGTGATAAGGCATTGAACTTTCTGGTCTCTGTATCATCTGTTTTCCATCGGCTGTTGACCCATTTCAATGGGATTCCATCTATAAAAACACAAACAGCAAGAAGCAAGAACATCTAAATAGTGGCTTTTATAATAACCTAACTTATGGGCATAAACAGAAATGCTTGGATGGTACTTTAGCAGGTGCATCACATCCATCTAACAAACAGTTGTAACAAACAATTGTAGTGGCTTCCCCATTGGGCCCTGTATCCTCCCCTGCCACAGGGGGTTGGCTTGGTCTACAGTACCAGATATGTGTTCTACCTCCAGGAGCGGGCCTTATTCTTATTCTTATTTTATGATGATGTACCAGATATGTGTTCTACCTCCAGGAGCGGGCCTTATTCTTATTCTTATTTTATGATGATGATGATGATGATGATGGTGATGATGATGATGTCATAGTATACATGTAGAAGTTAAAAGTCAACTCTGTAGAGGCAGTTCACCCATCTTTACATGGGTTCCAAGGATTGAACTCATGTTGTTAGGCTGGCAAAACTCATGTTACTTGTTACTCATCATGTAAACTACATGGGAACGAGTCAGTAATTTTAGATGTGGGATCATAACTTGAGCCTCTTGCCTTCCTCTCGCTTGAGTCGAGACTTTCTGAGGGCTTCTTCCTGGAGGCTCATGGTTTTATCATTTGGCTGAAATATGGAATTCAAAATAGTTTTCTTCCAGTGAGCATCTAATGTGGAAAATGGTATTACTTCCACTATGATTATTCATGTGTGTTATGAAACTTATTTTACAAGCACATGTCACCCATTTTTCTCATTGTTTCATCTGGTTGTTTGTTTTGTTGTGGATTTCATTTCCCCTGTTGTGAAAATTCCAGTGATTTAATTGAGTCCAGAGGACTGTCTTACCTTTCTATTATTGATCTATCTGATTGCAGCTCAGGACCTGACTGAGACAAAGCCCTTGGTCTTTTTAAGGATAAACTGAGAGGAATGGAAGGGAAGAGGGGCAAACATGGAGGAGAGGGGAAGAAGGGTATTGCTGGTGGGTTTCATGAACTTCGTGATAGGCTTAGTAAAGGTATTGATCAGCACCTCTGAGATCATACTGTCTAATATTTTTCCAGATTAACCAGTTTTTGTTCTTCACACAATTGCAGGTGTGTTCATCCTCGAGGAGGTGTGATTCAGAGTGTTTCTTCATGGAAGCATGGTTCTGGCACACAGTATGTTGGCACCCGGCAAACACAGTCATGGACTGCTGTGACTCCCCAGCAAACTTGGGCTTCACCAGCAGAAGTTGTTGACCTTACCTTGGATGAGGATAGCAGACGTAAATACCTACTGTAATACAATGTCACTGTTTCCTCTGCACTGTTCCCTTCCTCTTCCTCCTCTTTGTGACATGGAAGTTCATTGTCATAGGTTCAGCTTCAGAAGCTGTTTGTGGCATTTGGAATTGAAACTCATGATAAACAGCCCCCCCCCATTTTTTTTTAATGAAAAGAATTCACTTAGGAAAGTAATGTACCACAAAGAAAATAATTTTTCCTTTTCCTCAATAAGAATATGAGAATGGTGGATTTTATTAGACAACTTCATTTTGCTTGGTGACTTTTACTGTTAAAAGTCATTTTCTTTTTAGAATAATACTTTACTTACCAGGCTAATGAATTTCACTTTTTGAATCTTATATTTATTTTTCTGAATAATGAAATTAGTATCTAGATGTAACCACTATGTGTCCACCTCATTGTCACTCCCACCTTAGGGCATTTGCACACAAATCAGTCAGGTCCTTGTTGGCACCTGGTAGGGCATGTGCATTTAAAAGACAAATCTGTCGTTAAAAGTAGAAGACAGAAATATTATAACAAAATTCTTTTCTTTTAGCTTAAGTCTTTTGCCTTTTTTTCTGACATTGCTCTTTGTCAGTTTACCATAACACAAATAATTGATATTCCCTCTTTTATTTCCAAATACTACTAAGGTGACTTAGTTGGTCTCCTCGTTGCAATAATTCATAAATCTTAGGAAAATGTCTCCTTCCTTCTATGAGATTTTCTGGACATCTGAAGAGTACATTGAGAGATCAGTGGGAAATATTTGTCTCTCAACATTTTCCCCTGGTTTATTAAAACAATAGGAGAACACAGAAACTTGTTACTTAGGAAGAATATAAGAAGTTGAGTGGCTTCTAAGTGTATAGGCACTTGTAAACCTGAGAGGAAAATGCCTTCTCTCAAAGCTGATCTCTTTGTAAAGGGTATGTAACAGCTGTTTAACTGGACCTAATGCTGTGTTTGGGTATTTTCTTCTGTACCTTCTGAAAGTATACACACAAGAGAACTCAAAATACACCATAAGAAATCAAATGCAAAGCACATTATTGGCACTGTAAGTCTTGTAGTATCTGAAAGGATTAGTAAAGGGTAATAGAAACTTCAGGGAATTTAGGAAATGCCAGCAGAGAAATGTGGCATTAGTTACTACCTTTTTTCCTATAACATATTGCAGTTACTAGTGAATTATTTTAAAGCAATACCTAGAATTAGAACACTATGTATTGTGCACAGGGAAGAGTGAAGTGATATTGGCTCAGAAGACTTCACTTTTTGTTTTTCCTGGGTTTTGTTTGCTCTTTTGTTTTTGTTTCCATTGTTACCACATGATGTTGCTATGGCATTTTGCCTCCCTCCTTAGATGCCTTGTTGGTTCTTCCTGATCATAAGAGGATGAGACCTGACATTTTCATTCAGTGAACACACATTGACCAAGGGTCCACTCTGCATTAAGCGCTGTGCAGGGTGTGTGCTGTGGAGGCCCTGAGAAGAATGCTTGCACGAATCTGCCTGGCGTTTGCTTTTTTCTTATGTAAAGACAAGTTTATTCATTTATTTTACTTGTTTGTTCAGTTCTTCTCTATGTCCCTTCTGTGGGCATGTATTTGAACGTATGTTCTTCCATCTTTTCTGGTAGCATCTCATTTGATTTACCCTCTGTTCTTCACTGACTTTTCCCTTTTCCTTAAGTCTACTTGTAATTGATCAGGCTTTTAAAATCATGACTCTCCAGTGTTAGCACACCATTTATCACTCTTTCACCTGGCCACAATCCTAGACAGAAACCAAAGACCCAGAGGCCAGAGCGAAACAGGACTTTCTGAAAATTCACTACTGGTATATCTTTGGACCTTCACATCTTGCTTTAGGACTAAGTTATTTAAGTTTTACTGTTACATATTGTTTTTTACTTGAATTAAAATACTCAACAAAGGAGAAATGCATAATTTCTGGTCTGTGTTTTCCAGGAAAATCATTGGTAAGAGAATATAGTGGAGTATGTGACTTGAAGTTTTTGCAGCTTATTTTTCCCCTAGTATCAGGGCATAACCCCATTTTAAAGAATGTTTTTATATTACCTACTTTCATGTTAATGATGTTTTGTTCAATTCTATACAGCAGGTGATTTCCCCTGATATATTTTCTTTAGTCCCTATTAGCCATCCCCTAACGAGAACTTTTTGGGTGTTCGTGTGCACTGTATATTGAGGACAGAATGGAGTTGCAACCAAGCTCTTTTCTGGCCATTTCCTTTTATCTTAGATTGCACATAAAGATACTTGTTCCTTTTCCAGCTCCCTGACTACATTACTTGATGCATCAGAATAGAGATTTAGGCATTAAGATGAAAAAAGGCAAGGGGGAGGGAAGTTAGAGACAGTCAGCTCCCTCCCCTACTTATTGGCTTGGGACTTTTCCCTATCTAATAACTAATTAAGAAGGTGTTTGAACTCCTCTGTCACTGCTACATCCAGAAGAGTAGAAATTTGTTTTCAGGCTAGGTGTTAATAATAAAATTCTGTGGCATACAACCCTCATCACATTTGAAGATTTAAAAAAGGGATTGTTTTCCTAATCAAGATTTTACATTTATATTTAGCAGTATAAATAGTTCTTCACTCTTTGCCGGGACATTGTTTAAGGGGGCACAGTAGGGTCACAGATTGCTCTATGCCACAAATTTGGTTAAGTTCGCCTCTCCTCCAGCTAGAAAACCCAGTGCAGTAACCTGCTGTTCCATCTTTGTGGCAGCCCTGTACTTAGACCTGCTACTCTTCAGTAATGGCCTCTTCGTTGTGGTGGTAAACTAAGTGGATCCCGTTGTTTGTAAGAGAACAGCCCATAAAGTGCTTTTGTCATCACCAGTTATTTGCTAATTTTGTCATTTATTTGTTTGTCTTTAGCAGATTAATTCCATGAATAACAAAATAAATTTGTTGCCTGCTTTTTTGTACTATGTCACAAGGTTTTTGAAGCCTGGGACATAATTTTGTCTTAGTTTTGCCTTTTTTTTCTTCCCTTTCCTTTTTTTTTAAAGGCAAAGAGCTGAGCCCCAATCCCTGTTCTCCAGTATGTGTATGATGTGACTTCCATGTATATATAAAAAAAATGATTGCACCCTAACCAGACTTCCTCAAATTGTGCACTGTTTGTTTAAAATAATCACGCATTTTAGTTCAATGCTGTTGTATTTTTTCATTTTATTTAAAACACTACTTTTTCTTTAACAAATTTCAAAGGGTAGTGATCTTAAAAAAATCACTGGATAACTAGGAAATGTTTTTGTTGCTTTGTTTTTTAAAGAGTACAAAGGTTGTTGGATCTTTTGCTCTTCTTACCTTGAACATGAATTGTTAGCCATTGTATGGCTAGGAACCAATGCACTTGGTGGTTAGCAGATCTGCTGTTGCTGGGGAGAAAGTGTGGACTTGATGCAGTGACGACAAATCATTGCGTAGAAGGAATGTTTTCCAAATGTGCAACTCTAGTTTGTAAAATGAAATTTGGTTCTTTACACTCATTATTTAGTTTTTGTTTCCATTTAGTATTTAATGGTCTTTGGAGAAAAAAATTAATTAAACAGAGTGTTATATATATATTTTTTGGTGCAAGATAAGATTTTCTGTTTTTTGAAATAAGTCTGTAGCATAAAGGTTAAACTATTTTAAGACAAAATAAAAATAGAGTGTATTTAAACAATGATACTTTCTGAGAATTTTTTTTCCTTGCCTCAGTTAATTAGTGGCTGAAGCCATTCCCAAGTTGTCCTTTGGAGATAAAATGTGTCATATTTTGCTAATAGATCATTAGGCCATATTTTCTAGTCCATAGCTGTATCCTATCCCTAAGATGTGTTGCTAAGTAACCTGTGTCAGATCCAGAAAAAAGTTTTATGGATCTAGAGGGATGACTCAGTCAGTAGTTGCCAAACCGGAGGACCTGAGTTTGATCTCCAGCTCCCATGTAAAAAGCTGGATGTGGGGGCTGGAGCGATGGCTTAGTGGTTAAGAACACTGACTGTTCTTGCAGAAGACCCGAGTTCAAATCCCAGCACCCACATGGCAGCTCACAACTGTCCATAACTCCAGTTCCAGGTGATCTGACAGCCTCTTCTGTCCTCCACGGGCATTGCAGGACATAGGTGCACTTACCTACATGCAGGCAATGCACGCATACACATACAATAAAAATAATAAATAAAATATTTTTTTTAAAAAACTGGATGTGGTGGCAAACACTTGTAATCTCAGCCCTGGGGAGGCAGAGACAGGAGGAGTCCTAGAGCTTGATGACTAGCCAGTCCAGCCTAATTGTGAGCTCCAGGCCAATGAGGAACCTTGTCTCAAGTAGGTGGACAGCATTCCTGAAGACGACACCAAGGTTGTCCTCTGGTCTCCACACATACAAGTACACACGTGCATGTCTAACTGCTCCCCGTTCCCCACAGGAACACATATACAGATACACTGCTATAAGAAAAAAATTGTTTTATATTACTTCCCAGTAGCTGCTACCTCCCTCTTTAGCTAGGACCATTGAGATTTCAGACAGTCTTGAAGTACTGGGCATCTTTGTTCCTAACAACAAAACTCCACTACTAGTTACTTCCCAGAGACTACTCTGCCAGGGTCTGACCAGCGTGACTGCATGTGATTGAATACTGAAACAAGTACAAGGCATTGCACAAAGAGCCTCACCAACTCCTTTCCTAGTCTGATCTACTTTCAGATATTTATTTGGTCTTAAGATCTCATGAATTTTATTATGTCCATGAAGGAGAATGGGGAGCCAGGGAGAATGAGAACTACCTCCTAAACCCTGTCACCCCACTCCTGATCTCTCAGTTCTCAAGAAATATTTGTTCTGCTTGGGCCCAGAAGAGATCTGCTAACACCAGGAGATACACTGTTAACCAGCAGGAACTGTTTTCAGTTTGTTTGAAATGCTTCTTTTACTGCCTTGTGTCTGAAACCTTGACATATTGGTACCTGCCAAAAACTCTTCTTTGATTCTAGAAGGAAACTGTTTTCTTAGGACCTCATTTTTAAACCTTTTTGCCCTTGGATGCTGCCTTTGAAGAATAGGCACAAGTAAATAAAATAATCTGTGGCTAATACTTTATCTCATTTGGCCTTCTTTCTTCTAAATTCTTTGCTGGCTTTGGCTTTCCCTTCCTGTATGGTTTATTTTATTTTTAAAAAATATTTTATTATTAGCTGGGCATTGTGGCGCATGCCATTAATCCCAGCACTTGGGAGGCAGAGGCAGGTGGATCTTCGTGAGTTCGAGGCCAGCCTAGTCTACATAATGAGCTCCAGGACAGCTGGGGCTACAGGGAGATCCTGCCTCAAAAAGACAAAAAAAAATTATTTTTATTTTATTTTATATGTATGAGTGTTTTGCCTACGTGTGTGTAAGTGCACCACATGAATACAGTGCTCACAGAGGCCAGGAGAGGGTGTCGGATCCCCTGGAACTGGAATTATGGATTATTGTTAGCTACCATGTGGGTGCTGGGAATCTAACCCAGGCCCTCTGCAAGAGCAGCCAGTGCTCTTAACTGCTGAACCATCTGTCCAGTTCCCAGGTTGGTTGATTTTTCACATGCTAGTTGCAGCTTCAGTTGAAACAGAAAAATTTCAGATGCATCTTTACCGTGTGTGTGTGTGTGTGTGTGTGTGTGTGTGTTCAGCTTTGGTTTTCCAACCAAACTAAGGTGAATTTCTTTTAAGTTTTATTTTAGCCGTGTTACTGCTCTGTGAAGGAGTAGTCCTCTAAGATCATTGGTAAGTATGATTTTCTTTACTTCTCCAGCTCCATTCTTTTCTCCAAGGTATGTGTGTGGCAGTGGTGGTGGGGGGCATAGAGCCTCACTGTGTGGTCCTGGCTACCCTGAAACTCAGAGATATGCCTACTACCTCCTGAGTGCTGGAATTAAAGGCATACACTACCACACTTGCCCTGGATTTGGTTTCTATAAAGTGAAGAATATCTTAGAACTCTTTTCTGAAACAAAGGTCAAACTGTGTTGTTTTAGGGCATAATTCGCTGTTCAGCAAAGCAGCCTGGCTTTCCAGGGAGGAACTGAAGAGAGCTGCTCATTCAAGAAAAAAAAAAAAAAGTTGAAGGGACTAGAGTGTGCTCTTCTCTCTGAGGCTTTGGAAGGTATTGGATGACTAACACTCACATGACCTTGACCCTCTATGAACTCTAAAAACTCTATGACCCTCTATAAACTCAAAGTTTTTAAAAGAATGTTTGTTTCTAAATTTCCTCAAGGGATGAGAAATGGTACAGAGTCTTATAATTTTATAGATTGGAAAACTAAGAACAGTAAGTAACAACAGACCCAGATTTATGTTTGTAGACATTATAAGAACATTTTTTCTTTATATGATTCACACTAGGACTTTTATAAGAAAAAAACCCCATATTTCTCTGCTTGATTTCCATTTTTGGTTTTGTATGTGTGTGTGTGTGTGTATGTGTACCTTTTTTTTTGGAGACAGGTCTGCCTTTAACCCCAGCTGGCCTGGAAATCGTTATGTAGTCCAGGCTGGCCTTGCTTTCGTAGAGATCCACCTGCCTGTGCCTCTAAGTGCTGGGAATAAAGGTGTGCACTTCCATGTCTGGCTTCTTTTATTTTTTTTTTAAGATTTTTAAAAAATTTTGTGTATGTGTGCATGTCTGGGTGGGTATGTGCACATGAGTGCAAGTGCCTGCAAAGGTTAGAGGTATCAGATCCCGTGGTTGTGAGCCACCTGATGTGAGTGTTAGAAACTGAACTCAGGTTCTCTAAAGAGCAGTATATACTCTCAATCACTGAGCTATCTCTCCAGCCCTCCTTTCATTCTTTTTGCTACTAATTTTACCATATTCCAGCCTGAGGAGAATCAGACATTTTCTTGAGTAGGTAAACGTTTGAGCGGGCAGGTTGCCACAGATTTAAACGGTATCATGAACCAAAACCACTTAGCTGAGTGTGCATCCCAGCTCACGCTTTTAATTGACTGTGGAAACTTTCCATAGAAGAGTCTCTGTCTCATAGTTTATGGAATATGGAAATACAGATGGCCAAGAAACAGGAAAAGATACCTGGATTCATTCCTAATTATAGAAATGTAAACTTGTATTATAGGGCAGTATTTCTCATAGGTAGGAATGGATATATTGTACCCCCCAACAATAGAACAATAGCAACCTGTTTTTCTGCTTATGGGAGCATGCTTTGCCTCAACAATAGAAAAAACTGGAATTGTCTAGTGAAGTTGAATGTGTGTATACCCCAGGACCTAGCAGTTCCATGGGATAACACTCTTGGGCAGTGTTTCAACTGT